TTTGATTATTAACATAGGTGAAACTTAAGCTATTGTAACTTTGCATTGATAGAAAGTGCACTCAGTTTTATTCTGCCTTTTTTTGAAAGCACATATTTTTTGTAACACTCAACTGAGGCATGTAATTATTATCAGTTTTGATTTAATGTTTTATCCCATCTCCCTTGATATTTCTGAAGGGTAGGGAATATGTTTTGTCATACCCCTCATATTCCATCTTCAACTCTCAACTGTCTTAATACAAAGAACATTAAGTAAAAAATCAATTTGTCAATTGATTGGGCACCAATGCCAAAAAGCTTTTGTCAGTGTCAGCTGGTATCAGAAACTTTCTTCTCCCTCTCTTCTTTTCCTTTTATAAATAATTCAGTCCACCCCCACCCTGCCCCGCTAACTACACACTCAGTATTGCAGTGGTGCCAGCAGCTGCAGGTTTACTAGATAGTTTCAGGAAAATGCTGGACATTTGGGTATATATTTTACATTAGATTGAACAGATGATATAATTTTTTAATTCAAGAGACCATCACTTTTGCTTTCTAACACCTTCCAAACAAGTGCAAGGTCAATATTTTAAAAACCACATAATTTACTTCTTTATTTCAGCAATCTCTTTTCAATGGCGCTAATTCACAGCACTGATTTCTTTTTCATACCTTTTTTTCATAGAAGATTTCCTCTCAATAGTGATTTTAAGCAGATTTCTGCTGAATTCCTTAGACCATCAGTCATGTCTGTTATGTCTAAATCCTAACTTCAGACAGGGTCTCTAAAATCCCACATACCACATAAAAACAAGGAATGAGTAAGGTGTGGGGGAATGTTTAGAAAATATGTCTCCAAACTCCACATGGTATCCTCAGCTCCAGCACAACCCAAAGACCATTTCTGGGAAGCCATTTGACCACATAGCTCCTTTCTTTTTTCCCAAAGTGAATGAGACTTGAGATCAGTTTAATTTTAGTCTTGTGAAGAAAACATATGCTTTTGTACACTTTCTCCTTCTGCTTAGAATGCCCTGTCTGCCAACTACTGCTGTTTCTCATGTCTCAGCATAAGTCTGATCTCTTGAGGTATCATCTGGCTCCCCTCTCTATGGACTGGGTCAGGTGACCTTCCATGTGGCCAAGCAACTGCACTGCTTTAACTATCTGGCATAACTCGATTACAACATTTTTGTCAATTTTTTTTATTAATTTTAAAAATTTATTGTAGAGATGAGGTCTTGCCAAGTTGCCCGGGCTGGTCTTGAACCCGCGGACTCAGGCAATCCTCTCACCTTGGCTTCCCAAAGTGCTGGTATTATAGGCATGAGCCACCATGCCCGGCCTAGCATTTCTTTTCTTCATGAACCCATGCATAGTTTCATATTTGAAGTTTACAATCATGCCTTATTCATGACATTATTATTTGGCAGCACATATACTTGTGAGCAGCTGTTTTCTTTTTCTTTTTTTTTTAGATTAGAAAATATAGTTTATTTAGAAAGAAAATTAGCGAGAAAGAGGAGATTCATCTCCCCAAGCTAGGTCCAAGCATGGTCACACCATAGCTTAGAAAGCCAATGGCTGCAATGGCCTAGCAACGGCCTGGCAATGGCCACCTGTTTTCAATCATGAAGCACACAAAGAGCAAAATTCAAACAAACATTTCTGATGAACACCTTGAGAAGTCACTAAGAATTGTGACCATTTCCATCAAACCAGACATTGATAGATTAGTTTAACAAAAACAAGGTCAAATTTCACACTAGTTTTATGTTGTTCTCATTTTTCTAAACTTAATAAAAAATATTAAAAAATTAAAGAAGTCTTATTATGTATATATGAGTAAAACAATTAGGTTCACGAACCACCTTAGAAAAAGTGCTACATACTTCATTGGTGAATATCACTACAGTCACCCTCGAAATACTCCCCTTGGAAAGCTATGCACTGATGTCAGTGCCTAGTCCATCTGTCAAAGCAGTTTTGGAACTCTTTTACTGGAAAAGAGGTCTGACAATTAAATATGTGAACTTGCCACCATGTGCTTATGTTGGCAGCACTGTACAAATAACTGTATTTGAACACCCTCACTACTCACCTGATCTTTTTTCTTTAACTGAAAATAAAGGAAATATTAAAAGGAAGACATTTTGGTGACATTCACAACATCAAGGGGAATACAATGATAGCTCTGATGGAAATTCCAGAAAAAGAGTTCCAACATTGCTTTGATGGGTGGACTAGGCACTGGCATCAGTGCATAGCTTCCCAGGGTGGGGGGGGATACTTTGAAGGTGACTGTAGTGATATTAAACAATTAGGTATGCAGTACTTTTTCTAGGATGAATTCAAGAACTTAATTGTTGAATCTTGTATACTAATTCTATTATATAATTTATGTCTGGACCAAGACAATTCCTTTTT